CTTAAGGTATGTTCTTTTTTCTTTACATATGAATATACTAAACTGAAGTGTTTTTTTAGCTTTTATTATTTATATGTTATTACATAATACACATATTCTAAGAAAGTGTTATTTTATAAAGTTTTTACTATATATTATGTTTTGTGTAAATGTGGACTGGAGTATTCTTTTGATAATGTGAATATATTGAGTTACGTTAATGTACATGTAAGTTCAATTTTCGTTAAATATCATTATATAGCAAAAATAAGTGAATATTATTAATGAATTTATGTTTTATAGTTCTCAATATATTTAAGACATTATATGAAATAATATTTCCGATAACCCTGATAATATATAATAATGCACAATACTTGTACTCTATAAAAAATTTTGAAAAATTTTATGAACAACCTCAATCAAATAAATATTAATTATTATTTTCTATACAATTAGTTCACAATTAATTACCACATACAATGATAGTGTTATAAAGAATCACATCTAATATTATGTGTTTATTGGGAAAATTAAGGAAAATTACATGGTAGTTCATAAAGACGCTCTCCGAAAATTTGCTAAACAATTAGAATTTGTAAGTCTACAAATTTTATCATTCTTTTTATATTATAAAAATATCTAATTCATTTTTTTGTGTACATTGTTATGGTATTTAAAAGAAAATATTAATAGTAAGTAATAAATATTCAATTCATTTAATATATAAATATATATTTTATGCATACCATTATTATAAGTTAAAAATTGAATTACTCTGTAATAAACATAATTTAAGGCAATATAAGTCTCGTCATGAATAAATAAAAAAATAACAGTACAGCATTAAATGAAATTGTTATTAAAGCTCAAATTTAACATGAAAATACGAATGTCAGAGTATATGTGGTTTTACTAATTAAATCATATTACAATATACATATTATATAGTGATAAAAAACCCAAATGGAAGATACTTCTATGTTAAATTAAGTAATATTTTGAAACATAGAATTTTTAAGAATAATTGACGACAGCTATATCTATAAAATTAGGCACAGAATTAATGCAATTAAAAATTGTGATATAATAAAATCAGGTAATATATATAATTTCATTATTTAGGTTAATTTAAAAATATTATATCATCTATTTATTTAAATTATATATAAATAATTCTATTATTAAACATATGTTTTTAATTATAATTTACATAGAATAATTTGTATATATTAGAATATATTGTATTAAGCAATTTATAATGAATAGTTATATAGTTAAATTTTTGTTTCTATATGTAAAATTTAAAAATATATACAAATTTACAAAATATAGAACATTTACCTAATTTGTAAAAATTAATTTAAAAAATGATTAATTATACATGGTAGAATGTATAATAGAGCGACTAAATTTATTATATTTACATATTATCATTTCGTTTCATAATAGTTAAATCATTTTAATTAATGCATTAGATATCCGTGAAATCATTCAGTAAATAAATAAATATACAGAACATATTACAAATACTATATAAAGAAATATAATGAATTTTGACTAATAAATAGAAGTAATAAATACAAATAATTTATATTATTTTTAAGTAAAAAGTATATCAATTTATATTTTTTCAGGAGTTAGTATGTATATATATATATACTTATACGTAATAAAAATATGTTTTTAAGTATACGGTATGTCCATATTTAACATGAAATATAAGTTATTATTAAAATGTTTAATCCAGGGATTTATTTAATCTTGCGTTTTATATTTATTATATAAATATGTATTTTAATATATTTTTTAATTCTATATATTTCATTTGGTCGACGCATGTTATTATTGTAATCACATTTGAAAATTTAAACTATTTATTCTATATTTAAATTGCACATATATACATGTGGAATTTTTTTTAAACACAAAATAATTACAGCCATTATTGTTATATAAAATATATGGGTCTATATATTTGTTTTATAAATATTATAACTATGTACAATGTATTACCTAACTTTTATAATATGAGGTAATCATTTTTTCATTCATACATCATGTGTTAACATATATATGACTTAAATAACATAATTTCTATTTCCATGAAATTACAACTTAAAGAAAAATGTGTGTTTTTTTTGAACTTTTTCAATATAAATATTCACTGAGCCTAACTTACCCTGCATTATATGAATTATAAGTTATTTAAAAATTAATTTAAATTAGGATAAATCATTGAGTATCCATGGACACAAAAAAACAAATAAAAAAACAATTAATTCATAACTTCTAATTTTTATGCTTCTGTTTAATGATAAATATCATATATAACAGCTCTTTTTATGGAATTTTCAGAAATTATGAGGACATTCTATAATGACTATAAAGTATATTAAATTTATTAATTTATTTTTAATATTCCTATTTTATAACTGGAAATATACTTATCAATAATATTATACAATGTCAAGATATATATAATACTTTAAATAATCTGTATTAAATTATTATTAAAAATTATATATACATATGAATCAAGTATTAGAGCATGATCCATGATATAATTATATCAATATTATTCTCTTATGAACATCGAATTACTATGTTATTACAAAAAAAAATAAATTAAACAAAAAGTAGCAAATGGTTCTATATAGGTTCTAGTACTTTTGTAATATAATTGTGTCTATAGAAAATGACATTTTGAAAAAATTCATATTATATATTTTAAAATATAATCCAATTAAAATGATGAATATATATTTATTTTGTCTTTAAATTATTATATGAATTGACTAATGTTAACATAATCTATTAGTATAAGCAACATATATATAAATTCTATAGAATTCAGTGAATCTACTTTAAGAATAATTTTTATTTCATATTAAGAATTTAATGCTAAAACTATGAAGAATTGTATAATATGTGACATTCTTTGTTATGAAAATTACCATTGGATATTTCATATAATTGTAGTGTATTTATATAATGATCTATATTATTGCAATTATTTTTTTTTCTTACTCTTGAACATAGAAAGCATGAACCATATGGCGTGAACTGATCCATAGTAAGAAAAAATAATATACGAATATATAATTTTCATATGATAAATAATATATTTTAAAAGTATTTAAAAATTATTACGCTATTATATAAAGACATACATTTATATATATAATACATTTACTAACCTTATATAAAACACATACGAAAATGAATATTACTATGGTTAAGGAAACTGGAATTAATGTAAGAACTGTTGTATTATTGGTTTGAAAGGACGGTAGAGTTTTGGGTGTGTCATTATTACATCCGAGGTTTAATATAACTTTTTCATATTTTTCCTTGATGTTTATTAATTCATTACAAAAATATGTTGCATTATCTTGTCTGCATGATTCCACGTACTTTTTATATATATTGGCACATTCCTTCGCACATTCACATTTTTTTGGAGAACATGCATCTTGAACATTCAATTTATTAATCTTATTGTAAATCTCATAGATATCTTTAAGCTTTGATAATTCATCTTCTGCGATTGTAATATCCTTAAAATCCTTGCAACGCTCATCTTGCTCTAAATTATTTACTGTGATCAATTTATGATAAAGTTCTTTAATATCTCTTCCATTCATTCCTTCTGTTTTAGAATCATATAGCCAATAATACAAGTATAAGCAAAGAGCTTTCTCTAGGTTGTTATCACCATGTTTAAATTGTTGAATCTCATTAAGATAAGACAAAGTTTGTGCACATTTATCTTTGAATTGGTCTTTAATATTTCCTGGAATTTGGGCTTCCTGGTTTTCACAATTTCTTTTAAATGGTGTTTCTTTACCTTTGGCATCTTTTATATTTTTATCACATGTAGAAAATAAATTTGCATATTCGTACTATAAATATGAAAATAATGACATTATGATAAAAATAATATGTGTAAGGAATGCATTATAGTAATTATAAAAAATGAATATATAATTATCATAATACAGTAATATATTTTATTGAAGAAAAAACCCACAATGTTCATGCTCATATTAGATAATAATATATTTCATTATGAATGATCTGAAAAAGGGGATAAAATTACATGAATATTCAAATAGCTTTTTATTAATATAAACTATATAGTATGAAGAAACGTACTGTATTTTTTTTATAATTATAGTATATGAATATTGTATGTACCAATTGAATCATTAATTATAATATATAATAATATAATTAGATCATTTGTAATATATATACAATTTTTTATATCATTTTAAATAAGAAAGTTAAAAAACAAATAAAAAAATAAATGAACAAACATAAGAAGCATTCTAATAATGCAATATTAATATTACAAAAATGTATAAGAATTATATTATTTTTTCTAATTCAATAAGCATAAAAAGATAATATAATTCTTTTAACTTATATATATAATAATTTTATATCTACTTCACTTTATTTTTCATATAATATGTGTTATTTAATAAAAAATATATAAAATATAAGAATACATAAGTATTATGGATGATGAAAAAAATAAAGCTCTTCTTACATGTGAAAAAATTATATAAATTTATTAAAATAAAATATGATCATTTACAATAAATAAGTCTATATATTGAATGCAACATATAAGACTTATTTGTGTATAAAATGAAATATTTATTAACATTACAAATAAAAATATGTATATATTTTCTATATATCTCATGTTTATGTGGGGAAAATTATTTATGCGATGAAACATAGATTATAAAAAATTAAGACATAATCAATTTAATACAGATTTAAGAGATTTTCATAAAATAATAATATCAAATTTATAAGTTTATAATATTCAAACAGTATAAAAACAAGGTTCTTTAATTTATATATCCATAATTTTACACTTATACAGATATTATAATACTTTATACTAAGAAGTCTTAACTCCATAATTTAATGAATTTATAGAATTTGTCTATTTTGAAACATTTTAAATTGCATTAACCTTTATAGCATTTTATATGTTTTTTATTATATACATATGATCAAATTATAAATTTAGATATACATTAAAATTCAGACAATATATGCATACCAAATGTAAATTATAATAATAATTACAATAATTAATTACCTTATAGATAAAAAATAATGAAAGCATGAAATATATTACTTATATTAGTTTTTAAATATAAATAATAATATTTTTTTATAGAAATATTAATTTTGTATCCGTCAGTTGTTAATTTATAACTAAATGCCAAATACTCTGTATATAATGAATGCGTAAAGTATTATTTTATGATAATTATTTATTATAATACATGCTTATTATTAATAAGAATCGTATTTTTCAAAGATATATTTATTAATAATCAATTATTTAGAAAAATTATAATAATTACTAAGTGCATTAATAATGAACTTCATCTGAAGTATATAAATTTTGTATTAGTCAAATATTGCTATTTCTTCATAAATTTCCCAAACTACAGGCATAAATAATATAGGTTCTGCATAGAAAAAATTTATGTATATATTAAAAATTCATTTACCAATTACTAAAGATATACTAAGTAGAATATATTATGTATTATTTTGTGACATCAAAATAATTAATATAAGATTATGAACCTATAAAAATATTACACCTCATATAGTATAAAATTAACCTTTTATGATATAAATTGGGTGCTTTATAACAAAAAAATATACTTATAAATTAAAATTTCCTTGATTCACAATTAATAACATAAGAAAAATAATAATTATTTAACACATATTATGTAATATATTATGTTATTATAAAAATTAATTCTTAAAATATTCAATAAAAAAAAATTATATGTGAAAACCAAATATAATGAGACTTGTAGATAAATATGTCTCAGTAAGAGAAATTCTCATGTTATGTTGAAATATGGATCCGCTTTTATATATTCTCGTCGTATAAAACTCAATTAAGATCATCAAAATATGTCAAAGAAGATTACTTCTTTAATAGACAGAATAATTCGCGTACGAAAATTACAAATATAAAAAGATAGAATACATTGTTCATATATTAATAATTAATGCGATTTTTCAAAGAGAATATAATAACCATTTGATCTAGAATCATTTTCACATGTAATTAGTTACATGGATATGTGTAAAATAATTGATATCTTAAAGATGTATTTAAGCAATTTGTGATATTTTTATGCACTAAACTAATATAAATAATGGTTTATCCAAATATAAAGATTAGAAGTTAAATTGTAGCACACAATGCTTAAATATATAGGGGTCATTTAAAATGAATACAAATAAGTAAAGTAATGAAAGCTCAACCGTTTCATTTAAGTTATACTCACAAATGAATAAAGACGTTTTCTGGAAAATCAGGTTTGTACATATATCTGCATATTTATTTTGTTTTAATAGAAAGATAATAAACATATCTGATTATACATATATTATTCTTTGTATCTCCTTTATTTCTTGGATATAGAAAAATATATTTCATATAAATAATGTCATCACAAAAATGAAGTGTAGTAATAATTAGGTCTCAAATATAATTTTGAGTGATTGTACACATACTTCATTATTATTTATTCGGAAACATATTTAATATTATAATGTTTCACGTAATGACAATGAATAAATATTATCTGATTTGTGTTACAGTTTCATGGATATTGTAAATAGTATTCATATTTAAAATTATTTATATAATGTTTAAAAAAAATATTATCATTGTAGCTTAAAAATTACTACTACTGTTTTTATTGTATATTTAAAATTTTATTATTCAGTTAATATAAGATAGATCTTAAGTATATATATAAACATAATGCATTTATAAATGTATACGTGTATTTGTTGGTTTATTAAAACAGCATATAATTTTTTTATATATATCATTTATTAAGTTACTGTATATTACACATTTCAGTCTAACATTTTTTCATTATATATTTGTTAACTGGAGGTAGAAATATAGCGTGATTATAAAAATTAGAAATGCTTATAAGAGACATCATATTTTATTGTTAGAAAATCCTTTAAAATTGGGTGTTATTTATTTATATTTATAAAATTAGTGTTTACTTCAACCCAGTAGTTTTATTATACTTCCATTTAATTTATTTTTAATAACTTTATTACTGCCCCCTTGGTTACTACATTATGAATAGTGGGGGTCTTAAATATAATAAGTGCTTAAAATGAATATAATTGCTTTAACTTTCATTGGTTCCGAGGAATAATAATGACCGTTCTTGAGATATATATTATTAAATTCACTTTAATTGAACATAGCATTTCGTGAACAAATCATTATATTTTCTGTCTTACATATTCATAACCAATTTAGTGAGGTCTTTATATTTATTTAAATTACCTTTATGAGGAATATTTAAACCATTCTGTTTTCCCCTCTAATAATAAAATAAATTCTTCAACATGATAGCTGTTTTTTTATGAGATGTTTCTGTGCAGTAGCTACCGTATATATAAATATTTGTTCTGAAATATTACGTTCTTTTTACACAATATATAAATTTTTAATTTTTTCGCAATATTTTTATTTATAAATGTATTTTTATTTTTTATCAATGTAGAGTATACATTTACTTTAAATAATGAGCTACGAATATAAATACACTTATTCATTACACCACAGGATGAGACAAAAATAATTTTCAGCCTCTTAGCCATGTAATTAAAACTTTAACATAGTGGTATAAATTTCATATAATATAATTCAAAATATCCAAAATAATTTTATAAACTCTATTGTACTTTATCTATAAATGTTAATTATTATAGTATTATTTTTCCATACCATTTGGAAAAAATATTCCTATCCTCAAACTATATGATGATGTGAAATTATGTTAATGTGTTATGCGCTCATTAAGTTGTGGAATTGATAGTATTCGGTAAAATAAGTATTAAATTTATTATTCACACAAATTTAACGAATTTATAATTAAACTTTTACCGTTTTAATACTTAGAGTAATAACATATATATTAGTACAGGATTATAAAAAAGGAAAAGTTGTCATGGAAAAATTACCTCAAAAAAATATATCAATGAACACGTACTTATATGTTAAGGAATTTTTCAATAACATGATACACATACATAGTGATGAAACATTCTTATTCCTTTATGCGAATAACAAATATGTTTTATATTATGTAAGAAAAGAAAACCACTTGTATGATATAACATCTAAATTTACGTAAGCACACATATATAATGAAAAGGATCCTAAATTTCACCTAAGCCTTCACTATGTCTATATGTTATTTCGAAAAAAAATGGCGAAATGTATGTTAAGTAATTCATTCATGTGGCCAGAAATTAAGGCGATATACTATTGTTATATTTTGTTGCTTAATAAACATAATAGTTTTACATGTTTTATATCAAAGGAATTTTAAAAAGGTTGTGAATGAATTACTTATTATTTTAAATAAAATATATTTAGCACCTTCATAATTATTTAAAAAAAAATAATAAATGTATTAAGTAGAAAAAGTAAATTTAAAGATGTGCATATATAAGCACAGCAAATAAAGTTTACTTTTTTAATAAGAATAGATGTGAGACTTTGCATCACTGTGGTTTTCCATTTATACCTTTTTAAAAAAAATTAATGTGTTTCACAATAATCTTTTTGTTTTGTTACCCTAATAAAAGATAATTTTTTTTTTTTTTTTTCAAATTATTTTTTACATCATTTATTTTGTGTATAGAAAAATATAGTTTTTAAGCATTTATTTAAAATTAAAAAAATCAACACTGGAAGAGTTTTTATTTCTGTTGTGTTAAATAAAAAAAAATAGAGAGTCTCCATAATTTATTGTGAAATGCCCGTATATTGAAAAATAAAAAAATATAATTTATAATATTTTGTGACATCATTGTATTCTATATACTATAAGTGAAATTTATTTATGGTACCTTATAATTATTAGTTTATGACACATTTGTTTTATTGATATTATAAATTTTATAAAATGTCAATTATTAAAAATGTATGAATAAATAAATAACCTTAATAATTCCTAAAATAGTGTAGCAGTATAGTAAAAAGAACTACCACCTATTTTTAGGACAGAATAAATAACGCAATTATTTATTGAATGTGTACATATTATTACTACAACAAAGTTGATCAACTGTATATATATATCTGAAGATATATAATGAAGAATGTTATAAAAAAGTAACATTATGTACTGTGAGAAAATAAAAATGTTCTGTACATTCACATAATAATGACCGAAACAAGTAAATCTCTATCATTTTCATATTTTATGAAACAATGATTTGCCTTATACATTTATGAATGATTAAAAATATTCATCATTCATGTAAGTAATAATATGATTGAATTTTTTGCTTGTAATTAAAAAAGAGTTCTCACAGAAAGTAAATTACTTGGTTTTTATAATTATTTTATACTTATGAATAATATACATAATAGATCATCTATTATTAAATTACATTTGTAAATGATGAATTCAGGATATAATTATTTTATTTAGAAAACATATAATAGAATTATTCTCTTAAAAAAAAAAACACTTGGGTATATATATGTTTTTATTATATAAATATTACCAAATGTGAATAATTCATGTATTCTTAAGAGAAAAAGAAAAATTGTTTATTATAAAGGATGAATGCGCCCGTGTATTATAAATTTTTTACTCTATGTAGATTACATGGAAAAAATTTTACAATTTTAATTTCATTTGAAAAATATAATGAAATATTGAATAAAGAAAAATTAAGTGATATATATAGGTGTCTTAATGAATTACGGGGACAGGATAATAAGGTTAAAACTTTATGCAAGCGTATGATAAAATTTTTAACACAGATGTCTAGAAAGAAAAAAAATAAGCTTAAAATCAACCGTTATCCCTTTCAACGTTAATTATTTTATAACATTATTAAAATTAATATTTCAGGGAAAGTATTTGATAATTTAGAGTTCGCTAATAAAAAATCGGATTTAGAACTAACTGTTAATTTACGATTTTAGAATGATTCCTTCCTAAGTCGCTACTATTCTGGTCCTTTGGGGGACAGGAAACAAAAAAAATATATACAGGACAATTTTGAAAATTATACTCACGTTATCATAAATAATTGAAGTAATAATAAATGTGAAAAATATATGAAATTTCATACTTCCACTATTAGTACATGCAAAAAGCTATAATGTGTCTGTTCCTATGAGGGATAATAGGAGGAAGAATTTTGCGATTCTTACATTACAACTGAAAATTAATATAATAAGAATATATTACTAAACAAATTAAAAGAACAGATGTGACATATGAAAAAATTTAATGATCAAATAATCGCAAGTGTAAAGAGATATAGGCCTGAAGTATGCTCTTGCTTGTAAAGAACAAAGCAATAGGTTGATAAAGAAATTCCTAAAAATAGACACATATTCCCATGGATTATATAAAATGATTGTATTGTAAACATTGAAAATGTTATATAAACGTCATGTTATATCTTAAATTCAGATAATTTTCGAGATTCTATCGAAGCTTCTTCAGTTACATGAACAGTTATTTATTTTTCTTTTATTTCAGCGTAAATAAAATTTAAAACATAACATGTAAATATTTTATAGTAGTATTTAGAGTATATATATTTTAATACTTATAATATGAAAATGAATATATTATACATTACTAAAGCTTATATATTTGTGCCTTAGTCAACTCCTCATAGATTAAATTATCACAAAGGTGATTGAAAGAAAAAATAATGCAATACAACTAAAAATGATCATCAAGTATAAAATTTACCATGGTATGACATAGATTCATTATTTATAAGTAATAAAATGATATTATATATGCATTATAATATCCTATATTTTGTAAATTTTGTACATTATATGTTATAATTAAAATATTTTCTGAAGAAAAAATTCAAAATAACTTAACAAAAAAAATGTTTAACCTATGTATAATGTTACAGCAGAAAAGAGAAGCATGAACATATTGATATTGAGTACTAAACATAAGAAGAACTATACTATGAACTAAATTTATAATTAATTCAAACATCTCTTTTTATGCGCTATGATAGTTTGGAATTTATCATAATATGTAAGATATAACACAATGTAATATGAATTTAATATATCAAAATATTGATAATATATAATATATAATCAATCTAAATGATGAAATATTTAATATTTCATGAGAATATATAATATATTTATTATAAATTATTTTTTTATATGATAAACTCATCTTGGAATAGGGACAAATTTTAGAATAATAATCAATGTATAAGAACAAAAATATATGAGTAAAATTATAACAGATTCATTAGTAATGAATATATATAACATCTAACTTAATATATAATACATATTTTACAGAAATAGAAATAAAAATAACGTATAAATTATAATAATATATTTCTATAGAAAAAATTAACACTCATATATTAGTTAGTATAAAACCGTGATAAAATTAATAAACAAATGCTGATACAAGTAAAAAATAAAAATTTTTACGACAAATTTTTATTATAATATAAATGCCTAATTTTATATATATTTAATGAAGAACCCAGTATATATTATGAAATTTTTATATAAAAATATATGTAATAATAATATTAAATCATGATAATATATAAATTAAGAAAAAATATTATTAAAAACACAATACAAAATGTAATATATATTTTAATTTACAATATATATTAATATAAAAATATATATATATTTATAATGTTATTTAAACTATTTAAGTGTTTCTATGCATGTAAATATTTATGATGAACTTATATTGTAAAAAAATACATATATTTTTGAAATTAAAATAATTTTTCTATATATAACACTTTTTTAATTTCAATATATATATATTTTTTATAGAGTACCTATAAAAATATAGTATTTCTTTATTTTTTTTAAAAAAATATTATTGTTTTTTTTTTTTTTTGTTATATGTGAGTACTTATTTTTACATTAAATTACCATATAAGTTTTTTTTTACTTTTTAAATTTGTGCATATACTATAAGGTGTTTTGCGTCTACTTTGTTATCCGGATGATATTTTAACAAATAATTATATATTAATATATTTTTAAAAGTCATGTGTTATTGCTCGATAATAGTTATGATGAAAATATTCTTTAATTCTTTATTATTACTCAATTATTTGAGAACTATGTTTTCATTTATAATAATATAATTTTAGTGCATTTGTAAATTAAAAAAAACTAATCTATTTTATTATGTACTTCCTTTAAAAATTTTTCACTTTTTGGCCATTACTATTTATGTTTATAATGCTTTTTTTTTTTTTAAGGAAAAGGACAATATATATATATATATCCTAATAAAAATAAAGAAATTTTTAAAATAACTGTACATATACTAGAAGGAGCAATATAAATTTTTTTTAATGTTACTCATTTTTGCATAAATAAGAAACGTATACATATAATGAAAAAAAATTAAAATAAATATAATTAACTGAAATGGATATTGGTATTCACGTTCCTATTGCAACATGAATGATTTTATTATTCTTATTATTTATTTGAATTGAATTATTTGAATTATATAATTGTACTATTACGATGCATATTACGTGTAAATATTTAAATAAATATCACATAATAATATACATAAATATACTTTTTTATAATAAATTTGAAATTTTTGATTTGAGATATATATACCATAAGTGTTTTTTATAATTTAATCTATTATATTTATTTCGATTAGTTTCATTTATAGAACAAATAATGCATGTAAATTTATATATGTTAAAGAAGTTCATGTAAAACTGTAGTGATTGCTTCTAAAGGACATGATGAAATCTTTGTAAATTATTTTTATTATCATTACAATCCTTATACATATTAATTAGTACACTATTAATAAGTGTATTTCTATTCATAATTATTTATTTCATGACGCTAAATGTAAAATTTGAGTGCATAAAAAAACAATATAATAAAATGAACAAAAAAATACATTTTTAATATGTATACATATTCTCTTATTATGTTTGATATATGACTAAATAACAGTTTTTGAAGAAGATGAAGAAGAAGGACATTGTAATTCTGCATTAATAAAAATATAAAGAATATTTTATTTATACAAAGCATACCTATATAAGATTTTTAACAATTTTTAATTTATGAATAATGTAAAAAGTATTTTAAATATTATAAAATATTGTGTAATGTAAATATAACTTTAATTATTAGCATATTTTTTATATATGCGGAATAATTATGTACTATTCTATATGTTAAAAAAAAATCATATGTTCTTCTATTATTTTTTTTTTCCTTTTTTTTTCTATTTAAATATATGTTTAATGAAGATTATCAAAGAATTATGTAAGTTGTAAAAATTTATGGAATTAAGTATAGCATAAAAAAACAAAAAATAAAAATAATAATATATATAACTAAAATGAAAAAAATAAATGATCTTTTCAATTTTATTTCTTTTCTTTTGATAATAAATATTATGAGAAAATGATTTCACACTTTATATATTTAGTATGAGAACACTTGATATTCTGATTATTATAAATTTAGATAAATATATATATAATTGAATCTAAATTGATATTATTTTATTTTTTATATTCAATTTTCAATAATATTCTATAATAAAATGGAACGGATAATTTAGACATAACATATATTGCGTTTACTCATTTGTATTCATAATTTGTATCTCTCATATCAATACCTATATTAATGAATAACATAAACAATATTTTTATTTATAATATATTATTTATAATTTTAAACATATTAATTATGCATGTTACTACACATTAATATAATGTATGAATGAATTTTACTCATAAAATTTTTTTTCGCTATTTATTCTCATAGAGATTATTAGTTTGAACATTACTTGATTATTAGATTTTATGAGGTATCTTACTAAATATATAAGCCAGAATTCATTAAATTATATTATATAAATTAATTAATATATTAACTTAATAGACTAAATGTCCTCCATGTAATTTTCTCAGGGTGTTTGTTATATAATATAAAGATATATATTTTTATATTTACATATTTAATGGTATAACTATACACAATTATATAAAATATTATATCTGCGAATACCAGAAATAGTGCTATGTGCTTCTGAACTCAGGTACTCATTAAAATCCTTACCTAAATTAGTGCTTTTGAATATATTCCGTTTTATAGTACGTCTAAAGTACGGACCATATGGTGTGAACTAATTTATAATAAATAAAAAACATATATATATAATAAATATAATATTTACATATGAATCATTTTTGTTTTAATTTAGTAAAATTATTTTGTTGTTTGTATATAAAATATAATAATTAACCTTAAACAGAAAAAACAAAAAAAAGGCAATTATTAACATAAAAATACTGGGAATTAAAATAGGACTTTTTTCCTTATACATCTGAATCGATGGAAGTAATGAGAGTGTATTATTTTCACAATTTCTATCTTTCATTAAATCATTATATTCTTCCATAATATTTTTTAGTGCTTTACAAAAATCAGGGTCATAATTGTGTTCACACGTGACCTTGTTACGCATATATATTTCAGAGCACTTTTGAGCTAAATTACATATCTGAGACAAACGTTCATTATTATTTTTTATTCTATCAATATAATTATTCATATCATTCATATCTTTGATTTTATTTAAATCAATTTCTGGAATATATTGCTCATAATCTTTACATATGTCATTATTTTTTAGACGCTTATATTCAAGGAGAATATCCTTATAAAATTGTTTTAATTCGTCATTAGTTCTACTATTTTGAAGTTCTTTATTTATCAAATAAAATATGTAGACGCAGGATACATCTGAATCATCCCTTTCTGTAGATATATATTTTTTTTTACCCAAATAAGTCATTACTTTCATGCATGGTAGGAATAAATCTGATTTAATTTTTAGTTTGTCTTGTTTATCTACATATTTCATACAATAATTTTGCAATGTACCATCACTGTCGGTCATATCTGTATTTATGAGGTCATTCTGATTGTCAAATGATCTTGCAAGTATATACTAAAAAAAAGAATATATGTGATATATGAAGTTCTATATTTATATATTGCTGAATTGCATATATAATATAATTATAAAATAAAATTGATATATAAATAAAAATAAAGTTATTCAGTAAGAAAATATTATGGTACAAAATTATATTTTCTAGAATTCATTCTAATTAATAATTTAAAAAATATGTGAAAAAAAAATTCTTTTTAATTGCATATATAAAATGTAAAAATTATATTGAGTCAAATGTTCTAATATATGTTCATTTCAGTTAAGAATTAAATGTAATCTAATAATACATATTTCTTTTTTATTGAAAATTCATTAATTATGTTGAAACATAATGGTAAAACAGTGATAGACAGAATAAATCTTATTGATTAGTTTGTTAATATATCAAAATTTTGTAAAATAATATTTGAATTAAGTAATAGGTATAAATATTAAAATATAATTAGATATATTATTTACATATAAAAATATATTACTATGCTATTATGGTGTTATACAATTATATAATTTTAGTATTATAAATTTCTTATTTTTATTACGTACATAAATAAGTTTTTGCTTTATATAAGTTAATGAATATGGCAATGTATGACTTTTTCGAATTTGAGAAAAGTAATGTATATTATTATACATTACTATGTTATCATGCACTTACATTAGATATGTGTTTTTTTAATAACTCCATTTAATATACCAACACATATGTTCTGCAAATATATTTTATTTATTGACATTTTACAATTTAATGATTAAATAAAAAGTATTATATATATTTGATATTTCATATTAATACAATTATATATATTTTAATAAATAATATTAGTATTTTATATATAGTATTTTTATTATATGCTAGTAGAATCTACAGAAATATTAATCTTGGTTATCTTAGACAATTGTGTTCATATCAAAACAATATAGGAAATGTTTATTCATTATACATTATACTTTTTCTTATATTTTCTGAAATCAATCATTTTAAAATTATTTTAAATTATGTTATATTATTATAAAATATAATAAAATATATCTAATGCATATACATAAATGTGACAATTATATATAATCCGTATTATATTTTTATTACATTATATGATATTGATTATATATTTTTTAAAATTAATTCCATATTTATATTTTTTTCATTTGAGTTTCTTCTTTATTAGATTTTTCTTATAAATTTTTCATTTATGAAACAACTGTACATTTTTTAATTACATTTTTATTAAAATGAGAAATATACTAATTTTTAATAATATAATGATAATACATGCATACGTGATTATATATAATAATGTAAATTACCTAAATATTACAATATTTATATTGTGCATTTGTAATTTTTTATACTTGTTCGTTTGAGTTAAAGTTCTAGATTTTGTATAGTTATGTTATATGTTGAGCCAATATATGGCATATTTGTATTATATTAAGATAGGTTATAAGTATTGTTTTTTACTAGAACTAAGAATATATATTAATAATATAACATATATTAAAAATTCATATTTTATATTTATGAAATTAAAATATATATCTCACTTCCTACTTTTTATTTATATATTTTAACATTTTTTTTATATATAATTTGTGATATATTTAATATTCAATATATATTATTGAAGACTTTGGATATAATTATATTTATATATATGTTATAATATTATAAAAAATATTATTATAATGTATATGGGGTATTTTATTGTTGTATTATTTATAATTCCTTAATATTATATATAATATTATTTACTTATAATACAGTAATAAAACATTATTGCATAAATCATGAATTATAAAACTTTAGTATTATACACAATTTTGTACTCAAAATTATTCTTGAATAATCTACAATACATACATTACTATATATATTTATAAATACTGGTTAGATTACTAAATTATTCAACATTATCCTTTGAAAATTCTATGAAACATATATATAACGATACTATAATAATATTTAATGAATTTATTCTATTTCATAAGCAAAGATATATAAGACTATGGATAACTTTTCAACAACTGACTCTTTAATATATGCAATATTTTATATTTATTGTTTTCTACTTATTTTTCCAAGGTTGTTCAATAAATTTATGTAATATAAAATAGGTGAATACCTGTGAAATATATTATCAATTTTAAGTCATAATAATTTTTGATTAGTATTTGTTTAAACATATTGAAAATAATTTTGCAGTGTTATATAATTCTTAGATTTAAGAATTTAAAACATAAAGGATATGCTTTATTGTACAAAATAAAATTAAAATTTTACTGTCCATAATTATTAAACAAGTTATAATTAATTAATATTTTAAAAAAAGTAAAATTTTCATGTTTAATTCATTATTATATATGGCTATATATAAGTGGAGATTTTAATTATGCTAGTTTTCTATTTGTAATTTTAATAATTTATTTTTTTATATAACATTTTATTTACTGATTTCTTCTTTATTATAGCCTTAATTTATAGTCTATATCCTATTTTTTATTATACAATTAAATTAATTAATTACAGAATATAGACTTATTACACAATGCTATACATAATTAACAAATATTTTTCTTAATAAATTTTTATGTAAATTTAAAAATATTATGTCCTCAAAATGAAATTTTATGTTCACTTCCAATAAGTATTCCACAAATATACTTTATAAAATGTCTTATAAGTAGTAAGAATATGTATAAAAATATTTAATAATTAAAGGAAAATCATTTAAAGAAAAAATAAAATACAGATGATATAATGAATTTGTTTAAAATTTACACATACTTCTTATTTTATCTATATTACGGATCTGTTGAATTCATATATTAACCTATTAAACATTATAAATGATTTTAGGTTTATGGTTCAGAGTGAGAATTTTCTTTGGGTTTAGTATTTAGGTTTAGGCTATATTGTTTATTGTTTAGGTCGTGTTTTTACAAGAATGATATGTTTTTATTTTTATATTGTATTCCATATTTATAACTTCTTTATTTACACTGAATTTTGTGTTGTCTTTTTTATTCTATGTTCATGATATACTACTCTCACATTTGAACTCATTACATGCATTATATTAAGATAAAATTATGCATGAATGATAACAGATTTAATATACTTTTATATATTGTCATTATCATTACAATTTTATGAAATTAATATTTTGCGTATGGTTTATATAATTATAATGTATTTTATTTGTGTATATTTTATTGTGATTTATGTAAAATGTTTTTTAATCATTTTCTTATTTAATATAATTTTTAATCATTATTTCTATACTTTTATGTATATATTCTTTTATTAAGAATCATAATACTTGTCCAAGCAAATATTTATGTTTTGTTTTTCCTTGTCCCTATTAAAAGCATCAATGTATCGATATTCTTTATTTATAAAATAATTACCTTATTTTCCCTCATAATTCTACTTAATGGAATTAATGACATATCATAACAAATAGATAATCCAAAAATATTTGTTCCTGCACATAAAAACTTTTGTTTTCTTTTGTTTTAGTATGATCTTCATTTTTTCCTTCACGTAATTTAGAAACTCGCTCTCCATATAATTTCTCTTTTTTTCCTTCTATATCACCTAGAAATTTCTTTTGACAATCAGACGAATTACCAATAACAGATGCATTTAATATAT